TATGAATACGTTGCTGTTTCGCTGTTTCTCAGCTACATTTTGTCACACAAAAGTGTGTTTACACTCACCCGATCCAGCTTCATCAGCGCTATCTAGCGCACACCATCTTTCGGATCTACCTTGTGTGGATAGTCTTTTGGCTCCACATTGCGGCTTTCGCACCGTTCCCCGCAGAAACAAGCTATGCATTTTCCAAATCATCAATCACATAGAAACAATTGTAGACTCAAACGGAAGGCAACTCCGAGTTTTATCCAACGATTAAGCAATCACAACTGGACGGTACATCAAAGTAGCTATGGTACACTTCGTGTCCGTATCGCTCAGTCAATCGACCTACCGCGTGAACGATCCAGCCGCTTAAACCTGCCCCACTAGGGCCAGACGCACAGAACTTGACGGTTTTGAACATGCAGACAATTTAGCTCACAAGTGACCCGCAGGAAACCATAAGCACTCGAGCTCAGATCAAAATAGCATCGATTGACGAAATGGATTGTGGCGACCAACCAACAGCCTATGTTACCGCATCCAGATTGACAGTAGTTTGTGACTTTTCTTCAAGCCATAAAAATGTACGAACTTGAATTCACTGTTTCAGTTACCTTGGCAGGTTTCACCGTAAATGTTCCAAGCTCACAGTAAACATGTGGAAGCTATACAATAGTAAAGCAAGTTCATTGTGGTTCTGGTAAAAATTGTACATGAACTATCGCAGAAATAAGAAAGACTGGTGGCAATGAATGAACAAATGAGCAACAGCAAAGGCGATTCATTTGAAGAAAACATGACAGAGAGTAAATCCCGATCATTCCCATTAGGCTCTGCATCAAATTTGAGGAAGAAAGCTGGGTAGCGCGCTGAAAATGTGTCATCTGTGGCTTTAAAGGTCAAAACCGCCAGTTGCCCAAATACGCATGAAACAACCGAAGCCAATCCCATTGGAATGAGCACGGTCAGAGCCCCGTCTATCCTCCAAACAGTTTTGAAATTTCTGAAGGACGTCGATACCAATGGTGGCTGGAACTTGATTGCTGCCAAAGGTGACCGAAAACCTAGACCTTCGACCACCACCACTGGGCTCAAATTAAATGAAGGAGACGAAGCTATACCCACACAGCCTCCATCGGCTGTATGCAGACCAACTGGTCGGCTGACCACAGCCCGAGTTAGACGTAGTATACCAGCGGTAATCTATACCAACGTTCCGGAATCGACGTCAAATTCCTTGAAAGGAAAACAAGTCGATGATGTGAACCGGTGGAACTTCATATGTGACACTATAGGTGTTGTAGCTAAGCCCGTCAATTTGATACGCGTTACCTGTACCAACGATACGAAGCCTAAATTAAGTACATCGTACGAAACCTAAACTAGAAACTACGAACCAATAAACGTAGGCTTAACGCACGGTCTGAGCAGAAGAATAAAACGAAGTATCCTATAACCATGGTTCTATAAGGCAAAATAATTACAGTACATAACTTACGAACAGGTTTTACAATCGTACTGCAAGAGGGCAGAAATTGTAAAGTGTGTACCAGCGTGGGGAATTTGGGCAGTGTCACAGTAACAGAATAATAGGAATGAACTTGAAACGTCAAGGATATGTCCGTGATCGAGAGTGAAAGGAATAAAGGTTCAATATGGTAACCGACTGCAGCCCACAGAGTAAAAACAATGTAAAATGGGCAGAATAATTAGTGAATAGGGAGACCGTGTCCTAAAGTAAGGAATGCAGGTTGGGGAATACATCAAAGTTCCTTTTGGACTTTACCTATCACCAAAAGCCACCTCACTACGGTGAACCAAGACTACTCCGAGTTGTTGGTAAGTTCAGTGATCTGATTAAATCTGCAGCGGTCAACAAGCCTCTTCGTACCGCAAGAGCAAAATCATTCATTCAGAGCAGAACACGAAAATACACGACAGTAAGAGACGCCGCGTGGCATGTGTATAGAGTGAACTATAGCCCTGGAAACTGGAGCAACTATGTTGCGCATCGTAACACCTGTATCACATTTTCCGTGGGGACAAAGTAGGACATCAGGAGAGTCCAGCGGAAAGTTTTGTGCTAACAATAAGCATCTGTACAGACATGTGAACAGCCGCCGGAATGTGAAACACGATGTTCCCCCACTAATATCAACGGATGGATGTGCTCAAACCGCCAAGATTGCAGCCAAGGTTCTAGGGCTACAATATGCTCCAATTTTCCGACATGCTAGCAGCATGTGTAACATACCCGTCTCATTCTCCCAGATGCCAGTATGTCCACACGTAACGTTTAGTTCAAGACCATATTGAGAAAGCTGCTATTGTTGCGCACCCATAGGTCCTCCGAAGTTAACAACATTCCCCGAAAGCCTTGCAGGTGGAAGCTACGAGGATAACTGAGCCATCAAGGAGATTTTTCAATGATGCTTGGAAGAACAGGAGGTGCTTAACATGTGGGAGCAGAGCATCATTACCCCGATTTCCAAAAGTTGTAGCCGTTCAGAGCCAGCCAACTATCGCCCAGTGATTCTCCTCCCGGTGCTCTCAAAGGTGATGGAATCGACCGTTGCTGAGACTGTAATGGGCTACTTCGAAAGGTCTAACATAATAGCACCGGAGAAACACAGATTCCGTCAGCATCGGTCATGTACTCCCAGGCTAATGATGGCCCGCTGCAGTTGGTCCGAGATAGCCGACAGTGGGACGGGCATTGATGTTATCTACCTGGACTTTTAAAAGCCCACGACCGCACCGATCACCGCATCCTTCTCCAAAAGCTGTAAGCGTACAGTGTTCGGAACCCTGTCCTGGGATGGATCGCAGACTTCCTTCCTCAGCGGCGCCTTCAGTTCGAATTCGGGGCTCATTTTCTGATCTAATTAATGTGGACCGCGGAGTTCCGCAGGGGCCATTGTTGGGGCTGTGGTTATCCTTGTTCTTCATTGACGATCTTGCGAGTGTCGTCGAGTCAAATTACCTGTCTTTTTACGATGATATCAAGATATAGCGTGCAATCGGCTGTCAGTAAGATCATGGAACGCTTCAACGAGACTTAGACGGCGCTTTTGAATAGTCAAAGGCAAATCTACTTCCGTTTAACACGGACGAGTGCAAAACTGTGCCTGTTCGCTACAAGCCCACGCAAGCATATAAGCTTGGAGAGGACATGATGAAAACCGCCTCACAAGAGCGAGACCTCTGTGTGTTAATCTAAGAGGACCTCGGCTGTTCGGCGCAGTCCTTGAAGGCGTCCAAGACCGCGAACCAACATCATGGTCCCTGACGGAGGGCGTCCGGGAGATTTAATCCATCCATCTTCCCCCAAATGTAAGGCCCCTTGTAGAGTACGCGATCCAGGCTTGCCAACCCTGGTTAAAACGCAAACTGGCTGCACTGGAGACCGCAAGCGAAGGTAAATGAAAAATGTAAACGGGTTGTTCAAACTGCAATACCATATGCGCCTGAAAGTCTTGGGAGTGCACAGTGAAAGACATACGTCTATGGGGTAAACTCCTCCTGGCGTTCCAAATCTTGAAAAATCCCTGTCACGCTTGTCGCCAACACCTGAAGGTTATCCGTAACACAAGATTAAGGAGTCATAAGCTGAAACGGGCCACTCAATCTTGGAGTGCCACCGGAATTTTTTTCTTTTCGAATTTTCCTGTCAAATTTCTCTTTCGACTTTTGTCATTTCCGCGCCCATACTACCCATATTTTTAACAACGATTCGACGATGCTTTGCAATACCTACATTACTTGATCTGATTTCTATGCATCGAATGACAACAAGACACAGATAAACATTCTGTTCTCCAACCCCCACGAAATCGGGTATACCTTTGTGTTAACATGGATAATATGGCGAGTCCAGAGACGCGCCTTTCGCTTGTGAGTAACCTTTTTGAACTAACCTTATTCCCACATACCATCCAACGGGACTTTTCAAGCCTTGGTTATTAATCCGTCTTAAATTATTGTTCCATTGAGTGGCTTTCTGCGTCAAGTCTGTAACCAGGAGGAGTTAACAAACGTGAATGTTTGCAAGCATAACTCCTGCTGTCAGGTGGAACCAACTGGTAAACGTCTTCGTGATTCCGTGGTATCATTACTGAAATTCATGTCGGTTTCGCCTTTGATCAGACTTTTCGAACATATTAAACGATGGTGAGAATGAAATAGACGTTGGTTGACACATTCATCACAAGGCTCCCAGCCACAGAGATGAACGCCTCCTTCACAAATTGACCAGTGTCATTTACATGTACTGCATGTGGTCGGCATCAAGCAGCAGACTGTGAATATGAGATGCCGGTGCGGAACTAAAGAAATCCTGGACGAATCACGGAGAAGATGAGATGCGCATAGCTGCGTTAAAAAATAAATAAATAAAAAGAAGTAACCTGACAAAAATACGTGCAAAGTACTCAGAGGCTGAGAGAACAGCAGACAAAACACATCGAGACAAGACAAGCACCCTTCAAACCCGTTACTTCGATTCCAAACCAACGTTTTCTCCCCAACATTCATCCTAAAAATCGCCTGGTCTCATAGGCTTAAGGAACAGAATGCGGAAGCCACTGCCATTTGTTAAAAAAACAGTGCAAGTATATTTTGGTAAGTACTTGTGCATAGACATTGCATGGCCGAGCGAAATGTTCTGTGGCATTCTGGAAGTCATGATAACATAAATCGAGGATTTGAACTCGTAACGCAGAGGTCAGAATCGTACTACATTTCTACTAATCATGATGCTGTAAAGCGGACGAAGAAACGTCAAGGCAATTTTAGTGAACGTAACATGCATTTTTCCCAAAAAGATGTTGTGACGAAGAAGTAGGTTTTAGAAAGGACTACCGTATAATGAGAATGCACCGTTGGATCTAACCACGGAGATGCGACGATGAAGCAGTCAGAAAGGATTGCTCACTTCACCATCTGAACTACTGACACAATTGCGGTTTTTGTCATATAAGATGCGATGTGAGGATTGATTAAAAACATACCTCATTAAGCGCTGTAGATCTTTCGAATGCAGCCGCGGGGAAGTCATCAAGCACCAAGCCATTCGAAGGTCGAACCAAGTCAGCAAGACCACTCTGGATGAGCATTCCTGTAGATAACTATTAACACAATACAAGAGACTCCTGGTAAATCGAATAAGAGGCGCGAACATTTGAGTTAACGCTGTATACTTGAAAAGAGCCACACCAGCAGATGAGAGCAATCTACACTTGCAATTTTCTACATTGTCCATTCTCGCATAAAGCAATGCGCTCTTGGCATCTGCAGTCGGCAGATGCTCATATGTTGTGTAAAGTTGTGAACTATCTGTATTTCAGAAGTACTTTCCTATATCTAATGAAAAGTATTGGATAAACTGGCGAATTTCTAAACACTACGCGACCAAATTGTCCCAACGGGTTACATACGGGACAGATAGGATAACAAGTATATCTGATATCACAGTGTAGGTGTTCCACTTAGACATTCTCAATAAAATCCACCAGGTGGAATGATAAAACTCAAAAGATTAACAATGGTCGAGAACGCAACTCTTACCTGACCGTCCCGAAAGTCTGCGTAGGAGCAATAAGTGTAGTCGAAATATTCGGCCAGTTTTCGGCCCATTGTTGTTTTTCCACTATTTGGAGCTCCTTTAGAAGAAAACAGATTATGAGTAGGTACGTGGGCACGACAAACATAAACTAATAGGCAGTGTGCATAAGCTGACACTTGTAGGTTTTTATGGATGAAAACATGCAAATGATTAGTTATAGAAACAAGAGTGGATCGCATTCATTCATTATGCAAGTTAGCTGCAGGTGGAAAACACCTCAGCTATTCTGCCGCAACACAAAAGACAAAAAGAAAAATAATCAAAACACGCCGGCTGAGACCCCAGTAACGCATGGACATCGTTCCGGAGAGCTAACAGCCGGCTATCGTGCCGCAAAACGTTATCTAATGCTTAACGAGTGAGATCGTGATTGGAAGGGGAGATTAAACTGGGGGGTGGATAAAGGAACGAACAACACAAACGCCATTGGGGCCGGCTCCTAGCCATATCAGCAAGTGTGTCCAACCAAACGTGTTAATCGACCTTAGGAACCCAGCTCGGCAGTCCGGATGCACCAACCGACGCTAGCTGCGAAGTGAGGGTTTTCATTTCTCTCAACCAAGTCATCGCTTGGCCTCCCCTTCTCCTCTTCCAACCACACGCCTGGCGCGCAAACAATGCACGTCGCGGGAGTCGGTGTGCTACAATGCGCAACACGTGGTCCAACCAACGGAGCCTGGTGCGTGATATAATGGTTTTGAGCGATTCACTCCCTCTTCTTTGCACCAAATACTCGACACCGCACACGCTCATTGCTTATGCGGTGCTCCCACTAGATATGAGCAAAGCTATGAAGACAGCGATGATCGAATGTGGAGAGCTTCTTTATGTCTATTGACCTGATGGGCCAGGTTTTACAACCATATGGGAGGGTGGAACTGGCGACTGCGTTACAAACGCTGCCCTACAGGGAGTGTAATGTTGCGTCTGCGCCAGCGGTAGCGGAGATTGGCAAAAGCACCTCGAGCTTTTGCTATACAGTTCGTAACCTCATCTTCGATCCCACGGGCGCCAATATAGCTGCCCAGGTGCTTGAATTCCTGAACCACTTCTAGCTGATCATCACCAAGCGTCGCCGCAGGGGTGGGTCCATTTTACTTTTGGTGAAGTACTTTGCATTTCGATGGAACAAAGCATAGCCCAAAACGATTGACAGCCAGTGCTAATCTGTCCAGAGAAGCTTGACACATTTGAACGATGTCACAACTTAGGGCAATATCGTCCGCATACACTAAGTCAAGAAGTCGCACAACTGGAAGTAGCTCCACACCTTCTAGGTCGTGTTCAGGGAACGCTGTTACCATGACTACATTAATAACGAAGTTAAAGAGGAAAGGTGACAGCGGCCAACCTTGTCTCACACCGCTGGTGATACTGAAGGGTGGCGGAAGTTTGCTTGAAAACCCACACTCTGCCCGTCGCAATGAGGCTGGACCTTACCGTGGTGCGACGGTTCGTGTGCCTCAGCGATCCATTGAGCTATGCTGGATGGTGCTTTTGCACCTCTAGAGCCAATCATACCAGATTGGTCAATGGTTAGAGGCCAGACAAACTCAGCCTCCTGGTCCTCCAGGTTGGGGGCTGGAATGAGGGTGGCACCTTATTCCTTAAAACGGACTCCTTGTAGCCCAACGCCAAATCCGCTGCCTTGCGGTCAGGTTTTTGAATCAAAGGCTTTGGTTGAGTACCCTAATCGTTCTCCTGTCTAAGCCTGGGCAACCTGACAGTATCCTGCCCACGCAATACTATGAATCTTTCCTCAAACAAATTGCTGATGCTCTGGCCACCGCTGAGGATAATCAACGGTGCCCTATCTGCTGCATCGAGAAGGGTGAATAGGGGTTTGGATGCTACTGCTCAAGCCTTCCCATCTTCTTATTCCCCATCTTACGCTTTTTCACTCTTACCGTCCCCTTCCAACTTCACTTATATCCCCCCAGTTTTCAACCCCCCGATTCTTGGCCCTCCCCCAACATGCTTTGCTAGGCATTTATCTTCTACTTTCAACTCACAGGTGAACGCGGAGCGTCACTCCTCTCCTGTCGACAAGCCCATGTCCAACCAAGCGGTCCATTCCAGTTCATCGGCTTCCATTTGGAGCCCTCGATCCTCCTTCAGATTGGCATGCCTTAATGTACGCACACCACTACAGATCGGTCAACAGGCAGCACTTGCCCGAACATTGGAGACCCTCTCGATCGATATCTGCTACTTATCGGAGACCCGCCTGCAAGACTCGAGCTCTGTGCTCACTCTGCGATCCCCTTCAGGTGACGCAAGCAGTATTTTCTCCTTGCGCCTATCCAGTGAGGATGCAGCTTCGAGCACCGGCCAAGCTAGTGTTGGCATTGCCCTGAGTCCCCGGGCTGAAGCTACTCTGGTTGGTTGGATTCCACTCAGTAGCCGGATGTGTGCGGTCCGATTGGCTGGCTCGTTTAAACCTTCGAAGTCGCGCGGGACTAATAGGTGTCTATTCATCATCGCTGCCTACGCGCCCACAAACTGTAGCGATGATTCGGTAAAGAACGACTTCTACCGCCAACTGACTCAGCTCCTTCGCCACAGAAGAAGCACGGACACTGTTGTGCTGGCGGGGGATATGAAGGCACAAATTGGCAAGTTGTTCACTGATGAAATGCATCTGGGCGGTCAACACGGTGTAGGCTCCCGTAATGATAACTGTGAGCGGTTACTTCATTTGTGTGAAGATGCTCACTTATTTCTTGCAAGCACTAATTTCCGACACAGCACCCGCCGGAGGGTGACTTGGCGCCCACCAGTCTCGAACCAGTCTTGGACGCAGATCGATCATATTAGTTACCGCTGGAGAGGCTGCATCCAGAATTGTCGCTCGGTTTGGAGCACATGTGTGGACACCGATCATGCACTTGTATGTGCTGACATGCGGATGCGCTTTGGCGGACGCCCATGACGACGCTGTGAGCGCATTGACACCAGCCAACTGACAAAGCCAACTGTTCTGAATGCGTATCAAAGTACGCTGACATGCGAGTTGAGCAATCGCTCACTGGAGACAAGTGGTGGTCACTGGTCCTATGTTCGCCAGACCTTACTAGCAGCAGGCAAATCCTCATGTGGTATGTCTAAAAGCCAACATGGACATTGGGTCTCTTCTCGGTCTCCGGAACTTATCGACGCTCGCCGGCATATACCGGCTGGAAGCGAGCACAATGAAACTCGCAAAGAGCTCCGGGCAAAACTCCGCGCTAGCCTGAAGAGAGACCGCGAATCTTGGTGGTCTCATCGTGCGTCAGAGATGGAAGTGGCCGCTGCCCTTGGCAACCATCGTAAGTTATTCCGTCTGATACGGGAAACGGGCAGCAGGAGACTTGGTGTTAGTGAAACAATTTGTGATGAGAGTGGACAGCCTATCCACAATTTGTCAAAACGTTTGGAGCGTTGGGCTGAGCATTTTGAAAAGCAATTTAATCGGCTAGAATTGTTCGATTCTTCGCCGGCCATTGATCGCCCTGCTCCGTGGGCTGTCCCTTTGGATCCACCCTCTCGCTCAGAAGTCGAACGTGAGATCGGGCTGCTGAAGTTGAAAAAGTCGCGGGACCAGATGAGCTTCCTCCAGCCCTCTTCAAATTCGGAGGCTCTGCTCTTGTTGATGCTCTACATGAATTACTAGTGAAACTGTGGGAGCAGGAGACTGTCCCAACCGACTGGAGCCGCTCCGTTATTGTTCCCGTCTTCAAAGGCGGCTCGCGCTTCGAATGCGGCAACCATAGAGGAATCAGTCTGATCTCCATCGCCTCCAAATTACTCGCCTCCATAATTCTTCACAGACTGACTGGCGCTCGTGAAAGCCAGATTCGTGAGGAGCAAGCCGGGTTTCGTCGAGGTCGTGGCTGCATCGATCACATCTTCAACTTGCGTCAGTTGTTGGGGCACCGTCACACATATTGGCGGCCCACCGTTGTCGTGTTCCTCGATATCAAATGTGCCTTCGATTCGGTTGATCGATGTGCCCTTTGGAATTGTTTACTCAAGAAAGGTGTGCCCGAGAAATATGTAAATATTATCCAAGCATTATATTTGCGTAGCACGGGCGGAGTGAGGGCTTACGGCAAGCTGTCGTCACCCTTTAATATCTCCAGCGGTGTGAGACAAGGATGCCCGTTGTCACCTTTCCTCTTCAACTTCGCTATTGAGGAAGTCATGGAGTTTGCATTTACAGGACATGACTTGGAAGGTGTGGAGCTACTCCCAGGAGAACGACTTCTTCACTTGGAGTATTCTGACGATATTGCCCTTATCTGTGGCAGCTCCCAGACGTGCCAAGCCGCGCTGGACAGATTAGCACTGGCTGTCAGCCGCTTCGGGCTTTGCTTTGCACCATCGAAATGCAAAGCGTTCCTCCAAGATTGGCAGGGATCGACTCCTGCGCTGACCCTTGATGGGGATCAGCTAGAAGTCGTTCAGAAATTCAATTACCTGGGAAGTTGTATCAGCGCCCTTGGGATCGAAGACGAGATCACGAACCGCATAGCGAAAGCTCGGAGTGCTTTTGCTAGCCTTCGCCACCTATGGCGGCGGCGCGACATCACTCTCTCCATGAAGGGTAGAGTGTACAATGCAGCGGTACGTTCGACCTTACTGTACGGTTGCGAAACCTGGCCCCTAAGGTCGGCGGACATGAAGAGACTAGCTACGTTCGACCATCGGTGCCTTCGCAGTTTGGCTCACATCTGGTGGGAACACCGCGTGAGTAACGAGCGTGTTCGACGCATTGTTTACGGCGCAGGAAAAGGATCTGAACCGCTCAGCACCGTTATTTCCCGCACCAGGCTCCGATGGCTCGGCTACGTGTTACGCATGCCAGCCCACCGACTCCCTCGACGTGCGTTGTTTGCTCACCGGGGATGTAGGTGGAAGAAGAGGAGAGGTGGCCAAGCGATGACTTGGTCCAGAGGAATGAAATCCATCACTTCGGAGCTAGACTCGGTTGGAGCTTCACGGCTCCCTGGTTGGGGTCCAAAAGACGGTGAACACGTTTGGCTGGATACATTTGCT